TTAATGAATATGTAACTTTTAGATACTAATGTTATGGTGTAGTTTATAATCTTAACCAATTATACATGCAATTTTAACTTAAACCCTTAGTATGGTACTATCCTGCTTTTCAACAAAATATTGGTATGATATGTTCATATATCCGAATTATATAGAGACTGTCCACAGTGACTCCCTGTCTATAATGACCTTTTTTCTTTTCTCCCATCGAAGGTCACTGTAAACAGTCTTTACTGTACATATTTTAAGTGATTAATCATTATGTATTCATTATCTATTTTAATACTTATATTTATATAAGTCAGAAATGGAATTTATATCAAGTTACATGACGTCCAAATTTAATGGCTGTTTTCATTACTTCACAGGCAATGTTAATTAAAGCTATTTACAGTTTCAATCACCTGAACATATTATCAAATTTAAAGTTTATATATCACTTTAATTAAGATGTGGCTTGCATTCCTCATTAGGTGATCATATAATGCACATGATGTTTTACTTCCATTAAAGTTTATATATATACTTAAATTTCAGGAACAAAAATGCCATCTAGGAAAAGGGTCACAACTTCGACTAAACGGGGAGGAAACAAAAAACAGAAACAAACTGACAATATGGCAACGTCTGTCATGGAATCAAATAACAATGCTGTGGCTACAGTAACTAGTACCCACCATAACACAAGAAACAAGGAATCACCACGCCCCTCTGCACCTCAACCCACAACAAATTCTATGGATGCCGACCAAATCGGAGAAATAGTTGACACATTGTCAACCAAGCTGGAGGCAATAGTTGATAAAAAAAATTCAAGACATTTTGGGGAAAGACAAGACGGACACAAATGCTTCTCAAAATTTGCCGGTTCTGGAATTGCCACAGCCCGAGATGCCAAATTCAGCTTCTAACTTTGACCATCAACATGGTCATATAGGTACTGGTATTTCTGGGAACCTTTCACTTCATTCTTCGCCATCTATCCCTTTACATGCAACAGTATCTTTAAAAGTTAAGGAAAAAATATGGGCAAATGAATTTGTTGATTTATCATCTGTGTTCAACAAACAGGATGAATTACTCAACATTACGGTCACTAAGGCAGGCGTTCAAGCCGTAACCCCTCTTCAGCCTGGGAAGTTTCTATCAACTGAACAATAGACGGATCTGTTTGCTATTTTTGCCTCTGTCTATAAACAAAGGTTTTCCTGAGTCTACTGAACCTCTCGCCCAGTACAGTAATACTATAAGAACAATATCTAAAGCTAGAGGTAACTGGCACTATTACAACAATCAATTCCGCCAGTTACGTCAAAGTCATCCATTAGCTTGGGACTCGATTCACCATGAATTATATATAAAGGCACTTAATCAGAGACAGCCCTTTCTCTCCAATGGCCCACAAATGGGCCAGTCAAGACAAACCTGTCATAAATTCAACAGGGGACTTAGATGCTTTGGATGCTCCTACGCACATAAATGCAAGGGATGCTACGGAAATCACCCACACTTCAAATGATGGAAACGTCCAGCAGATACAACTCAAACAGGGCCTTAACCTCCACAAAGTCAAACAAGCGCCATCAGATCTAACCAGGCCAACTCTTCCCTCAAGATAATTCTTCGTTACCCACAAGAGCTATTGCAAATGCGTTCATCAGGCTAAAGGAAAGGCATTTTTCAAAGAAATATACAAACCAGACTGCAAAGTGTGTGGTAGTCTGAGACCACGCATTAGCCGCCAAACCTATTGTGTTGACTGTGATGTTGCCTTGTGTATTGTACCTTGTTTTGAAGTGTTTCATACATTGTTTGTTTGTTTCATTTTACACTTTTTCCCCAACAGTATTTCAGTCATATAGGCGGATAGTTTCATAACCATCATTCCTGGAGAGTTACACCAGTACTAGACTACCTTCCTCCATGCTAAACTACTATAGCATCTCCCGGGGATCCAACCCACGCCAGAGAGGTAACTGGATTAGAAGTCATCGACTCTAACCCCTCGACCATGGAGGCGTGTTTCATACATACAAGGAATACAGATCTGCCAGGGTAAATGTAGTCAACCATTTGGGACTATTCTAACTAAACTAAAGTTCATATGTACTCAAAAATATTTAGTATGACAAAATGCTTTTGCAAACAGCCGTAAACTGCAATTGTCCATTGTTACTTGTTTTGTATTTTTTTCTTGTAAAATACACAAATAACTAGAAATGCTTCTGTCATGGCGTGAATACCCCCCCCCCGCATACCACTTTGTCAGTGGCCATTTAGAACTAAACTTAAGGACAACCACCCTGCCAAATCTGAGGTTACTAAGCCAGTGCATTGCTAAGATATGTATTCTCCATGCTTCAAATGTGAAAATTTTAAAATCAAGTTTTTTTAGTCAAGGCCCCTGTGACATTGACCTTTGACCCAGTGACCTCAAAATCAATAGGGGTCATCTACTAATCATGACTAACCTCCATGCCAAATATGAAGACTGTGGGTCAAAGGAATCTCAAGTTTTTGGGCGGACAAGCTTTTTTTTAGGCCACTGTGACCTTGACCTTTGACCCAGTGACCTCAAAATCAATAGGGGTCATCTACTAATCATGACTAACCTCCATGCCAAATAGGAAGACTGGGTCAAAGGAATCTCAAGTTATTGGGCGGACAAGAATTTTTAAGTCATGGTCCCTGTGACCTTTGACCCAGTGACCCAAAAATCAATAGGGGTTTATACTAATCATGACTAACCTCCATGCCAAATATGAAGATTGTGGGCTAAAGGAATCTCAAGTTATTGGGTGGACAAGCTTTTAAAAGTCAGGCCCCTGTGACCTTGACCTTTGACCCAGTGACCCCAAAATCAATAGGGGTCATCAACACATGACTTACCAATACCTCCATGGCAAATATCAAGACTGTGGGTCAAAAGAATCTCAAGTTATTGGGCGGACAAGGTTTTTTTAGTCAGGGCCCCTTTGACCTTGACCTTTGACCCAGTGACCTCAAAATCAATAGGGGTCATCTACTAATCATGAATTACCTCCATGCCAAATATGAAGACTGTGGGCCAATGGAATCTCAAGTTATTGGGCAGTCAAGCTTTTTAAAGTCAAGGCCCCTGTGGCCTTGACCTTTGACCCAGTGACCCCAAAATCAATTGGGGTCATCTACTAATCATGACTAACCTCCATGCCAAATATGTAGACTCTGGGCCAAAGGAATCTCAAGTTATTGGGCGGACAAGGAAAAACCGACGGACGGACAGGGAGACGTCCGGACAGGCCGTCCGGACAAGCTGATTTCGGTATACCCCCCTTACAACTTCGTTGTGCGGGGGTATAATTACAGAGTAACATTTGTTTTATGTATTTATATATTCAATTATGTATTCTACAAGCAATTTCTAGCCATTTTGTTATAATCAGAAATCAAATGTTCATCCGGTTAAACCGGTAGGGGACTTATAATATTAGGGTATGACATTTTTGAGAATTTTTCCTAAAGAAATGTCTGGCATTATGTAGAACTGTATCTAATGAGTGCCTGGCAGTGAAAGTGTTAAGGTGCATTGTTTTTTTTTTGTTTACTTTCAGAGACTGTGTCAGAGTGGAGTATTCCAGTCCCAACTGTGGTCACAGATTATGCTGCCAATGAGAAGAAAGCTCTGGTACTGCTAGTGTGGACACGGTTTGGTTGTTATGGTCATCGTTTGAATTCGGCTCCTTTGAAAAGCTCACAAAATGGTAACTCTTTTTCATGAGTCTACTACTCTAAATGATTGCCTCCTAGAAAAGCAGCCTGCTTATATACTCCGAGAAGAACTAAAATTAAGAAAATTAAATGTTTGGACATGGACAAATGGTTTGATGATGCAGTAGTTACTGGTATTAGTAAAAACTCAATTATAAACCAAGAAGTGGAAAGGTATTTAACAGAGATGAAAGGGAATCAAAGTTAAGTCTTTTGGAATGGTGGGGGCATAAAAATGTCACAAAGCATGATTAACATTTGTTTAGTTCATCATTTCATTTATAACAAGGCAGCTTTTTTTTATTGCATAGGATTGGTTCAAATCGAGTAAAGATACACACAGAATAAAAGGTACTCTGTATACAGCAGTTTAAGGCAAACATAAGCTTGCATATTATTACAGAAGTGTGACTGTCTTAAAGTACATAATGTCCAGGATAATATTTTTTTGTTTACTTTAGTTATAAGTTTGTTCACTACAGATGATATCATATGACTTGTTTGGAAAAGTTTTCATATGCTGCTGTTCCACAAGATTGATTTCATTTGAATAATTTCAGCTGTTAATTGGAGACACAAGGAGGTTCTGCTACTTATCTCATTGTATTCTGAGCACCAGCAGATGTTCAACAACTATCTTTTCAAGGCCTATTAAGTTTGGAAAAAGATTGCTGAAGGCATGAGGGAAAAAGGATATTCATTCACTGGCCTGCAGTGCGACAAGAAATTTCGCTCTTTGAAGTACAGGTAATTACAAATGTCTATTTTTATCTGCATGTAATGATTACTTTGAGCCTTAATGGCAAGTTACTTAAGATTGTTGAAGGTGATTTTGTCGAGCCTGCTTGAGGAGAGCTGGACACAGCTGTCACAGTGGCAGTTTGATGTATGTGCGTTAATCCGGATATGCTTGTATGGGCTGTAACTCTGTCATTACTTGGCAGAATTTCAAATAACTTGCCACAAATGACTATAATACTTTAAGGTCATATGCCAAAAAAGGTATAGGGTGCCTGGCAGTGAAAGTGTTAAGCTTCATTGTTTTGTTTTTCTGTTTACTTTCAGAAACTGTGTCAGAGTGGAGTATATCAGTGCCAACTATGGTCACAGACAATGCTGCCAATGAGAAGAAAGCTCTGGAACTGCTAGTGTGGACACGGTTTGGTTGTTATGGTCATCGTCTGAATTTGGCCGTCCAGCATGCATTAGAAATTCCAGAAGTATCTCAGCTCCGTTGAAAAGCTCACAAAATGGTTACTCTTTTTCATCAGTCTACTTGTCTGAATGATTGCCTCCTAGAAAAGCAGATGCTTATATACTCTGATACCCCAGGGTCAGCAGGGCTCATTGGACACAAATTGATAAATGATGTTCCAACTAGGTGGAACAGTAGTCTGTCGATGTTACAACGCCTCTCAGAGCAATTGGCTGCTATCCTGGCAATTGCAAGAGACAACAAACTTAACATTAACAAGACTACATGTAATAATCTGAGATCATACTGTCTTACCTTTGATGAACAAAACCTTGCTGAAGGTCTGATCAACTTGTTATCACCTTTTGAGAAAGCCACAACCATCTTGCGTGCAGAAAACAGCCTGACTATGAATAAAGTTCTTGTTCTATGGCCAAAACAACACTAAATTTATAATGTTATAAAATCAAATTCATTTTTTACACACATGTAATAAATTTTGTTGTTGTAAGTCTTTATGTTTAAATTATCAATTGCAGGAGATGAGCTAGCTGGTGGGAAGTGCTCTTAAGAAAGAATTACCGTAGCATTATGTGCTTCAATGACTGGTGAGAAACTTAAACCTCTTGTGATAGGCAAATCCACCAAACTCAGATGCTGCAATAGAATTAAACCTGAAAAACTTCCTGTTACATACAGAAACAATAAGTAGGCCTGGATGACTTACGAGTTAATGATAGACTGGCTCAAATCAGTTGATCGAAAACTTTGTAGATTATGACCATACAAAGCAATGTAACAGCATGCAAGAAATATGAGAAAAAAATGTTTATTTTTTGTAATTTTTATTTTAAATTTAAAGAAAATACATCAATTTATGAACAGAGAATTCGAAATAGCGGAAAAGAGAGAAACAAAAAATGACCTAGAAACACCTAAGAAGACTTACTCGACATCCACTCCTATGTTTAGAGTCAAACCAGGAACTAAAAAATGGCTGCATAAACCCAGAGTACCAACAGAAGAGAACATCTACTTATTTAACGTACAGGAACCGATCTCACCTACCTATGAACCCTTAAACTAACGAACAACAATACAACCCTGCTACAAGACGAAATTGGACAGTTCAACAATGAAAATAAACAGATTATAAACGCTTGCTCTATTTATAATATTTTTTCTTATTAATAATAACTGTAATTGTAATAATCAACAATTCTGGAACACTGCCAATTAATTTTGGTTAATGACCAAAACTGGACTATAATTAGTAACAAAATTTCTATTTTTTGTAACATCCCATCTTTTTTTATACCTTAGCTTTAATTTATGTAGTTAACAAGAGCGATCAGTAATCACATGTGTCGCCTCATTTTGGCCAATTTCATGTTGGGACAAATTTTGTGACAGACGGACAGACAGACGGACAGTGCACAACTAAACTTGCTACTGATCAATCCTGTAAAGTTTGGATAAAATTGCACCAGTAGTTTATGAGGAGTAGTCCGGACAAGCTTTTGCGTATCTGGCAACACACAGAAAAAAACACCTTTTTATCAAAGGGCCATAACTCAGCCAAAAATCATTCAACCGGAAAACCCGTGCAATATGCGCAAGGACTTGAGCTACAGATCCATCCTGTAAAGTTTAATTGAAATTGCATTAGTGGTATAAGAGAAGTAGTCCGGACAAACTTTAAAAGTAAAAATTATTAAAGGGCCATAACTCAAACAACAAGAGCTGTCCGTAAGACAGCGCGCTCAACTTTTTTATTGCTTGCCAATAAAAAAAGTTTTTGCAGTAAAAGGCAATACAAGAATCTCTGTATTTTTAAAGTGAACAATGGCCATGAGCATTAAGATATTTAGTGAAGAATTATTTTATTATGACATAATTTATGGTAAAGTGAACAAGTGGATAGGAATGAATTTTTTTAGATTTTTTAAGTTTTTTAGTGCTTGCCTATAATACAAAACATTGACAGTTAAGGGCCATAATTCAAATAAAATCTTTGACAGAATTACCTTCTCCTGGACATGTTTGGGAATCATGATTGTAAACAAGTATTCCAACTTTCAAATTAATATCTCAAACAGTTCAGTCAAAAAGTGGACTGGTACTAAAAACTTAACCAAGATTCTAAGTCGATAAAAGGCCTTAATTTTTAAAACAAATCCTTGACAGAGTTACCTTCTCTTGCGTACAGATGGGGGTAATGATGTGAAATAGCATTAAAAGTTTCAAAGCAATATCTCAAAGGGTTAAGGCAATAAGTGGATTTTACCCATATTCAATGTATTTTCTAAGTCAAAAAGGGGCATAATTCTGTCAAAAACCTTGACAGAGTTATGTCCTCTTGTCTGTTGATGAAGGTCGTGATGGTAAACAAGTATGGTCAGTTTCAAAGCAATACCTCCAATGGTTTTGAAATAAAGTGAGGTGGTACAAAAAACTTAACCAAGCTCAATACACTTTCTAAGTCAAAAAAGGGCCATAATTCTGTCAAAAACCTTGACAGAGTTATGTACTCTTGTCTGTAGATGGAGGTTATGATGGTGAACAAGTATGGTAAGTTTCAAAGCCATACTTGTAATACTTCTGAAATAAAGTGGGGTGGTACGAAAAACTTAACCAAGGTGTGACGCCAACGCCGACGCCGACGCCGGGGCGAGTAGGATAGCTCCCCTTTTCATAGAAAAGTCGAGCTAAAAATCATTGAACCGGAAAATGCTGACAATATGCACAACTAGACTTGGTACTGATCATTCCTGTAAAGTTTGGATGAAATTGCACCAGTAGTTTATGAGGAGTAGTCCGGACAAGCTTTTGTGTATCTGGCAACACACAGAAAAAGAAACCTTTTTATGAAAGGGCCATAACTCGGCCAAAAATCATTCAACCGGAAAACCCGTGCAATATCCGCAAGGACTTGAGCTACAGATCAATCCTGTAAAGTTTCATTGAAATTGCATTAGTGGTATAAGAGAAGTAGTCCGGACAAACTTTAAAATTAAAAATTATTAAAGGGCCATAACTCTGACAGAAATCATTGAACCGGAAAATGCTGACAATATGCACAACTAGACTTGGTACTGATCATTCCTGTAAAGTTTGGATGAAATTGCACCAGTAGTTTATGAGGAGTAGTCCGGACAAGTTTTGTGACGGACGGACGTACGTTCTCACAGGACAGTAATTATGTGGCTACTCTATTGTTCTCTCTATTGTTCTTTTTAGCCACGCAAAAGAAAATAGCCACATAAAAGCATTACGGAACAAGAAGCGCCGCAATGCGACGAAAACCAGGTTTTCAACGACCAAGTTTTGATGTGACAGCAATCAATAGGTCAAAAAGCACTGAAGTTATTGAGTAGAAGCTGAAAATTCTATTGTAAGCAAATGACCTTGAACTTGATCCAAGATATCTTAGTGGCAATCCAAAGCTGCCACTCAGCAAGTTTGGTGTCAAAAGGTCAAAGCAAACTCAAGTTATAACATGAAAACTAAATACATGTACATTAACCTTGATCACAGACACCTGGGTAGCAATCCCAAGCTGCCTCTTGATATAAGCTACCCATTCATCAAGTTTGGTGTCATTAGGCCAAAGCAAACTCAAGTTATTGAGTAGAAACTGAATTTCTATTTTTAGTAACAGTGACCTTGACCTTGATCACAGACACCAGGATAGCAATCCAAAGCTGCCTGTTGATATAACCTATCCATTCACCAAGTTTGGCGTCAATAGGCCAAAGCAAACTCAAGTTACTGAGCAGAAACAGTGGCCTTGACCTTGATAACAGACACCTGGGTAGCAATCCCAAGCTGCCTATTGATATAAGCGATCCATACACCAAGTTTGGTATCAATAGGCCAAAGCAAACTCAAGTTATTTCTAGCCATTTTGTTATAATCAGAAATCAAATGTTCATCCGGTTAAACCGGTAGGGGACTTATAATATTAGGGTATGACATTTTTGAGAATTTTTCCTAAAGAAATGTCTGGCATTATGTAGAACTGTATCTAATGAGTGCCTGGCAGTGAAAGTGTTAAGGTGCATTGTTTTTTTTTTTTGTTTACTTTCAGAGACTGTGTCAGAGTGGAGTATTCCAGTCCCAACTGTGGTCACAGATTATGCTGCCAATGAGAAGAAAGCTCTGGTACTGCTAGTGTGGACACGGTTTGGTTGTTATGGTCATCGTTTGAATTCGGCTCCTTTGAAAAGCTCACAAAATGGTAACTCTTTTTCATGAGTCTACTACTCTAAATGATTGCCTCCTAGAAAAGCAGCCTGCTTATATACTCCGAGAAGAAACTAAAATTAAGAAAAATTAAATGTTTGGACATGGACAAATGGTTTGATGATGCAGTAGTTACTGGTATTAGAAAAAACTCAATTATAAAACCAAGAAGTGGAAAGGTATTTAACAGAGATGAAAGGGAATCAAAGTTAAGTCTTTTGGAATGGTGGGGGCATAAAAATGTCACAAAGCATGATTAACATTTGTTTAGTTCATCATTTCATTTATAACAAGGCAGCTTCTTTTTATTGCATAGGATTGGTTTAAATCGAGTAAAGATACACACAGAATAAAAGGTACTCTGTATACAGCCGTTTAAGGCAAACACAAGCCTGCATATTATTACAGAAGTGTGACTGTCTTAAAGTAACATAATGTCCAGGATAAATATTTTTTTGTTTACTTTAGTTATAAGTTTGTTCACTACAGATGATATCATATGACTTGTTTGGAAAAGTTTTCATATGCTGCTGTTCCACAAGATTGATTTCATTTGAATAATTTCAGCTGTTAATTGGAGACACAAGGAGGTTCTGCTACTTATCTCATTGTATTCTGAGCACGCAGCAGATGTTCAACAACTATCTTTTCAAGGCCTATTAAGTTTGGAAAAAGATTGCTGAAGGCATGAGGGAAAAAGGATATTCATTCACTGGCCTGCAGTGCGACAAGAGAAATTTCGCTCTTTGAAGTACAGGTAATTACAAATGTCTATTTTTATCTGCATGTAATGATTACTTTGAGCCTTAATGGCAAGTTACTTAAGATTGTTGAAGGTGATTTTGTCGAGCCTGCTTGAGGAGAGCTGGACACAGCTGTCACAGTGGCAGTTTGATGTATGTGCGTTAATCCGGATATGCTTGTATGGGCTGTAACTCTGTCATTACTTGGCAGAATTTCAAATAACTTGCCACAAATGACTATAATACTTTAAGGTCATATGCCAAAAAAGGTATAGGGTGCCTGGCAGTGAGGAGTGTTAAGCTTCATTTTTTTTTCTGTTTACTTTCAGACACTGTGTCAGAGTGGAGTATTCCAGTCCCAACTGTGGTCACAGACAATGCTGCCAATGAGAAGAAAGCTCTGGAACTGCTAGGGTGGACACGGTTTGGTTGTTATGGTCATCATCTGAATTTGGCCGTCCAGCATGCATTAAAAATTCCAGAAGTATCTCAGCTCCTTTGAAAAGCTCACAAAATGGTTACTCTTTTTCATCAGTCTACTTGTCTGAATGATTGCCTCCTAGAAAAGCAGATGCTTATATACTCTGATACCCCAGGGTCAGCAGGGCTCATTGGACACAAATTGATAAATGATGTTCCAACAAGGTGGAACAGTAGTCTGTCGATGTTACAACACCTCTCAGAGCAATTGGCTGCTATCCTTGCCATTGCAAGAGACAACAAACTTAACATTAACAAGACTACATGTAAAAATCTGAGATCATACTGTCTTACCTTTGATGAACAATACCTTGCTGAAGGTCTGATCAAGTTGTTATCACCTTTTGAGAAAGCCACAACCATCTTGCGTGCAGAAAACAGCCCGACTATGAATAAGTTCTTGTTCTATGGCCAAAACAACACTAAATTTATAATGTTATAAAATCAAATTCATTTTTTACACACATGTAATAAATTTTGTTGTTGTAAGTCTTTATGTTTAAATTATCAATTGCAGGAGATGAGCTGGCCGGTGGGAAGCGCTCTAAAGAAAGAATTACCATAGCATTATGTGCTTCAATGACTGGTGAGAAACTTAAACGTCTTGTGATAGGCAAGTTCACCAAACTCAGATGCTGCAATAGAATTAAACCTGAAAAACTTCCTGTTACATACAGAAACAATAAGTAGGCCTGGATGACTTACGAGTTAATGATAGACTGGCTCAAATCAGTTGATCGAAAACTTTGTAGATTATGACCATACAAAGCAATGTAACAGCATGCAAGAAATATGAGAAAAAAATGTTTATTTTTTGTAATCTTTATTTTAAATTTAAAGAAAATACATCAATTTATGAACAGAGAATTCGAAATAGCGGAAAAGAGAGAAACAAAAAATGACCTAGAAACACCTAAGAAGACTTTACTCGACATCCACTCCTATGTTTTAGAGTCAAACCAGGAACTAAAAAATGGCTGCATAAACCCAGAGTACCAACAGAAGACAACATCTACTTATTTAACGTACCGGAACCGATCTCACCTACCTATGAACCCTTAAACTAACGAACAACAATACAACCCTGCTACAAGACGAAATTGGACAATTCAACAATGAAAATAAACAGATTATAAACGCTTGCTCTATTTACAATATTTTTTCTTATTAATAATAACTGTAATTGTAATAATCAACAATTCTGGAACACTGCCAATTAATTTTGGTTAATGACCAAAACTGGACTATAATTAGTAACAAAATTTCTATTTTTAGTAACATCCCATCTTTTTTTATACCTTAGCTTTAATTTTTGTAGTTAAAAATAATGTGTCTTATTGTTTAAGTCAATAAGGCATTATCATTTTAGCAGAATACTGGATATAACTGTATAAGGGATGTAACTGCTACAAGATGTTTTCATACTTAAATTTTGAGTTATTTTCCCCTTTGGGAAAATTTTTCCCCTTTTGGAAAAAATAACGGGAAAGGGCCTTTTTGGGGTCACAGGGGCAAACATTTTCCCCTTCCCCAACCTCGGGTTTCCCCACACTGGAAAGACTAAAAGAAAAATTTTGGGGAAATTTCAATCTTAAAAAAATTTCCTAAGAAAAATTTCTGAATTTTTTTGGAAAAATTTTAAAAAAAGGTTTTAAAATTTTAAAAAACCCAAACAATCCCCTGGAAAAGGGTAGAAGGGCCCAAAAAGGAAACTGAAAGGGGAGGAGGAACCAGAAAGTTTGAGTTTGTGGTAAAACAGCAATCCTTCAACAAAAGGCATATGGGTTTTTGGGAGGATGGCTGGTTTTTTTGGGGTTTTTGGGGCAAGATTTTTCGTGAGGTCAAAAAAAAATGTTTCTGGGGAAAAATATTTTGCCCTGGGATGGACCAGTGGTTTTAAAAGGGGGAAAGACTTGCACCCCCTAAAATGTATTTAAGGTGTTCGGGAAAGGGGAAAAATAAACCCAAAAGTTTGAAAATTTCTGCATTTTGGGAGGGAAAAATATTGAAAAAATACAAATTTTGTTTTTTTAAAATAAATTGGGGGCCCAACTGAAATGGGGAAAATAAGGTGTTTTTTTGAAAATTTTTCAAACGCGGAAAATTTGAAATGGGTTTTTATTCTGCCAAAGATTGTTTTGGGTTGTGCCAAAGGAAAAGGGTTAAAGATTTAGCCTTTTTGAAAATAGAAAAAACAAAGAGAAAACCAGGTCTATCTCCCCCATTTTAAATGTTCCCCCCACCCCAACGGTAAAATTTTTGCATATCAAGTCTTTTGGGCCAAGGACACCCCCTGGTTTTTCCCCGTGCGAAAAAAAAGTGGCACTTCCCTTTGACATTGGTAATGAAATGTTTATTTTGGCTGTGTCAAAAGCCGTTTCCTTATTTTTAAATAATGAGTCGGATACATCTCAGAAAAGTATTTAGAAGTCTAGCCTAAAATTTTGGGGGAACAAGAGTGTAGGCCGCTGACAATCGAATGGTGCAACTCTATTTTTTAGAAATATTTTAAAGAATTAATTTATGTTTTAAATATATTAAACTTTAAGGTATGGATTTACTCTCTTCAGAATATGGCTGACATTATTGTTCAGAAAAACCCCAATTTTGGAAAGGGACAATATCCTATAATTTCTATTATTTTTTAATTAGCATGCTTTTAGGTCTGCTTTGGAACAGGTGGGCTTAATAATTGTGGAGATATATAATAGTTTCTTTAGTATTTATCAAATTTAGTAGCATATTTTTAATTTTTGATATTATGGAAATGGAATATCATGGAATAGAAAATATCTGATATTAGGAAAATGGATTTTGGATATCATGGAAATGGATTTTGGATATCATGGAAATGGAATTTTATAAAGGATAAGGCTTGGCACAGATGTGGCAGTTAAGAAATTATCAATGGGAAGAAAGGGAAAACAGCACAAACAAATATTATCAAAAAAATAATTGAAATGCTGTCAAGATTAAGACATCCAAACCTTGTACAATGGCATATTCAACTTTAACTCTCTAAAGCAATGATTCTATTTGAAATTATGAAGGCTGTGATTAAGATGAAATCATTTTTCCTGTCGGAGAACACAGTTAAAAGGTATCAGTCTCATTGCAAATTGCTCAAGCACTTGCAGAATGTTATGCCCCAAAATTTTAAAGGGCTGTCCAATGTCCCTTGTTTAAAAAAAATTGGGAAAATGTTAAGAAAATTGATTTTGGGAAGTAACCCCAAACCCAAAAGAAAAATTTGAACATAAAATTTTTGGGAACTAAAAATTAAATGTGTGGAAAGGGAAGGGAAATTTATATCCCCCTTCAGTTTTTGCATTTTTAAAAGAAAGCAAGGGGGTTTTTCCCAACCCTTTCAGCCCATCGGGTTCTTGAATTTTTATTAAACCCTTTTGCATTGGATTTAGACGGTTTTTCAAAATCCGTTTTGGGTCCTTTTGATGAACCCCAAGAAAAGGGTTTCTTTTGAAAACCCTTTTTTGTTTTTTTGCGGGGAGCTTAAAAAAATTTTAAAAGCCACAGTTTAATATCTTTTTAAATGTTTGGAAACAAAAAATATTTTTTACTGCAGCTAAATTTAATTATTTTTGGTGATGATGGCCAACCATACAGGTTAAGTTGAGTGTTGTATATTCATGAAACAGCTTAAGACAGATGAGCCCTAGTACAGCTCTCCCTTTTATGTACAGATGTACCTGCTCAGTTGAACTGAACAAAGAGAATCTGTAAAAAAAAATGTCATAAAGCATGATTAACATTTGTTTAGTTCATCATTTCATTTATAACAAGGCAGCTTTTTTCATTGCATAAGATTGGTTCAAATCGAGTAAAGATACACACAGAATAAAAGGTACTCTGTATACAGCAGTTAAAGGCAAACATAAGCTTGCATATTATTACAGAAGTGTGACTGTCTAAAAGTACATAATGTCCAGGATAATATTTTTTTTGTTTACTTTAGTTATAAGTTGGTTCACTACAGATGATATCATATGACTTGTTTGGAAAAGTTATCATATGCTGCTGTTCCACAAGATTGATTTCAATTGAATAATTTCAGCTGTTAATTGGAGACATGAGGAGGTTCTGCTACTGATCTCGTTGTATTCTGAGCACCAACAGATGTTCAACAACTCTCTTTTCAAGGCCTATGAAGTTTGGAAAAAGATTGCTGAAGGCATGAGGGAAAAAGGATATTCATTCACTGGCCTGCAGTGCGACAAGAAATTTCGCTCTTTGAAGTACAGGTAATTACAAATGTCTATTTTTATCTGCATGTAATGATTACTTTGAGCCTTAATGGCAAGTTACTTACATGTAAGACTCGGAGGAGTAATCGTTTAAATAAAAATGAGAGTTGCGCTTTGTAAGCGCATGGTGTGTTCATCTGAACTGGTATCACATTACTTATGTGACTAACCATGTTTTTATTTTATCTTTTCAGAATAAAAGTCAAGGAAAACTTTACTTTTTGCATACAACTTGCTGTTCTAGTTGGAATTATGTCTAAGATTGAACAATTTGAAACAAAGACGGAGGCGGGAGAGTTGGTGGATCCGGAGCAGTTGGTGGAGGAGTTGCTGCTCAGTCAACTGTCTGAATATAGACAGAGACAGATCTTGCTAGGGCAAGTAGCTCTGGCCAAAGATCTGGACAACCAAAAATGGTTGTCAGATGTAGCAGGTTTCTGCTACAAAATGGGGTTTGGGTACGCCTCTGATGGTTGGATAGAGAGGCACATTGGTACAATACCTCAATGGGCGTATAGCCACACAGGAAGGCCCAAACCCAAGGATATGGCAGCTGAGACCATTCCTGCTAGTTCTTCTGATGGTGAATGGTCATAAGTGACTAGGAAGAGGAAGTTCTCTCCAATACGTTGGGAGGAGAAAAAAGTCTGATATGGTGAGGGTTGCTGGAACTGCAGGGAGTGGGGTCATTATGGTAGGGACTGTAGTAAGCCCCGTTCTTTTGTTACTTAAAAAAGAACAGCCGTTGCTGAGAGTAGAAAAGAGCAACCAGTGCAGGCCCAGGAACGACGAATCGTCCAGGAGGAGCAGCCTCAGAAGAAGCAGCCCCTTGTTACTTGCAAGGGTGCTGGAGGACTTGAAAACAGGACATATGCCCTTGTTACTTGCGAGGGTATAAAGAGAGCGAAGGAGCCTGCAAGGAGTAATAATACCAGGCCAGTAGAAAGGACAGAAAAAGAAGTTGAAAAGGCTGCCGAGAGACAACCCCGAAGGCTAATTGTTACTTGCAAGAAGCCGGTTGAGGCACCAGCTGTTCCGAGGTCCCTTGTTACTTGCAAGGACTCTACAACATCAGGGGTAGGAAGGCAAAGAAATTTAGGCCTTGTTCTATTCCCTGGTGCAAAGGCAATTTTTTTATAAAAAGGGGCACATTTTCGGATATCATTATCCAACTGCCTTAGCAGCTGAGGAAGGAGGAGTGGATACCAGAGTTTCAATACGAATAGAAGCGCTCTGGTATTTAGCTAGAAGTTTGGTAGGCCCACAAACGAACATCATGGACCTTGTGGATTTCTTGAATAACTCTGGTTGTTTGAGTGACTTGGAGGATTGTACGGCTGATGAATGGTCAGATGATGTTGCCATGAGGATTGTCAGAGTACTTGGTCTGGTAGCTCCTGTGAGGTTGACGTGCATTCCTCTTAACAGTCCTGGTGGTATATTTTACTACCGGGTGTTAGCAAAGTTGTTGGCCTTCTTGGAGAAAGGGCTCATCATGAGTTTATGGAGAGGTTCGGTCTTCCAGAACTGCGGCATCTGTTACGAGAAAGATGTCCGACGCCTCCTTCATCAGCTCCAGAAACTCCGGTGTGGCATTCTTTGCCACATTTGACAGTAGAAAGAAATGCTGATGGAAGGCGGGAAGTAATTGTATCTGAAGATCGTCCAACTGATGAGTCGGCAAAAGAATCTTGTAGTACTTCTACAGGATTAGGTGTGGCTTCTCGCAGTACTTCTGTAGAGCATTTGGATGTCTGTGTCGGTACAGAAGATTTAGAGGATCGTACCGAACTCTGGTATGCCATCGCTGATACACTCTATAAGGAGTTATCAGATGAAGAGGAGGAGGGGATTTCTCCAAAAAGGTCATGGCAGAAGGAACATGTAGACATGGAGGTGGAGGAAGGTGGTGAGGAGGAAGAAAAAGAGGTGGAAGATCCCCAAATACCTAGGCCAGGCGCAGTCGATTCCCATTTTCATTTGGATCGTCTGTGTCGAATGGCTAGAATCAGGCCCATGAGTTATCAGAGGGCATTGACAGAGATTAAACCCTTTAAAGAAGCGGATGCTGTTGAGGTCGAGGGGGCTGTTGCGGTATTTTGTGATCCTGACAGTTACCCATCAAAAACCGAGGTGGATAACCTTAAAAAAGAAGGTGTTGTGTCGGTGGTTGGCCTTCACCCTAGCAAAGTCACTAGTCAGGGGGCAGTGGAAAAACTGAAAAAGGTACTGATGGAGTGTGATGTTGTAGGGTTGGGAGAAATTGGATTAGATGGTACAAAGGACCATCTAATTTCTCAACGTAGTATTTTTCATGATGTACTGACCCTAATCACCAAACATCCGGATTTTGTGCTTATACTTCATTTCAGACTGGAGCCCCATCAGTCAAGTACAAGGGCTTTATACAATATGTTTTATCGATGTAAGGCCGTTGTACCAAGAAGGCAGAAGATTCATCTTCATTGTTTCAGTGGCACCATGGACGATGTTGATTTATGGTTGGGGTACTTCCCCAATACATATTTTGGGTACAGCTACATGGTGTCAAAGGAAGATTTTGGAGAAGGTGCCAGAATTGCTTTACAAAGGATTGAGGAGAAGAAACTCTTGCTAGAGTCAGATGCTCCGTACTTTCCTCACGGGCATCAATACAGATGGTCATCTCCTTCATTTATAGGAATGACAGCCACTGCTGTAGCTAGGGTGAGGGGTTGTTCTAAGGAACAAATACTTAGAACAACTGTTGAAAATGCCAGACGTTTGTACTGGTATTAGAGCTAACATATACTTTATGTTATGCTCAATTTGATTGTAATTCCAGGGTTTAGAAAATAGCACATATTTTGTGTCATATTTTTATCTTATATTGGATCAATACACATACTTTGTGTGGTTTGTGAATAATTCATTTTATCTGAGGTTAATTTTATCTGAGCAGTTCACATACTTTGTGTGGTTTTATGTAAAATGTGGTTATATTGTTTTAACGCACATTCTTTGTGTAAATACTATATATTATATGATTGTTATATGATTAACATCATATGAGGATTTTAAGAAAAACTGAGGATGTGGAAGTGGGAGCACTTACTTGCTGACTCCATTTTAAGATGTTTTAGGTGTGTATAATTTTAAATTTTTGTTAATATTGTTTTAATAGTTTTATACGTAGGACAAATAGAAAATCACATCATTTCGTTATCTCTGGGTGGATGCTTTATGATTTAGGGGGACTGAGGTTTATTTTTTGGGGGTGTGGTTACCGCCTAAAAAGATAAAGTTGGGGGAATGTTGCAGTCATGGATTGACTGCACTTTCCGTTATTTAGGTGTCCTTTCACTTAAAATCTCTTCCCGCGCTCTCAAAATTCCGGAGATTTCTGTTCCATGCCGGGTAAGTGAACTGACAAGACGTGTTTTTCATTGCTGCAGAATTGAACTTTACATTTTACTTAAATTTGTTAAACTACTGTTAAATAAAGGTGGTAAGATGGTCTAGGTGTTTGAACCAATAATAAATAAAGACCAGATAGCACAGAAACCAGTTATGACAAAAAAAAGAGCTTTTGAAACCGTTTCAATTTATGTTAAGAAATCAAGAGCTGCTTATGAAGGAGATCACTTATAGAAAATATATAATATTTAAGTAGCAGTTCATCAGTAAATTTAACTTTAAACCATAAGAATCAAAATCATCACACAAAGTTTATATACTTGAATGGATGCTGTAAGGTCAAAATTTAATTTCATCATGTACTGATAACTGTTGAGAATCTTTACAAGTATGAACTGTTTGTATCTTTATAGTGTCAACATGTATAAGTTGGACATCTAGAAAAGTTTTTGGTTGAAAATGAGAGCAAATGATATATTTTCTCCTTTTATATATAATTAAAATTATGTGCTTGTTTTAAGTTGTTTTATCTTTTATTGTTTACACTCAACTTTTATAACTCTTAAATGCAACACATACGATAAAAGGTTATAGACTGTACTGTCAGAGGAAAAAAATGATGTGACTTGGTCAGAGTGAAAATGGCAAAAAATTATGACAAATACATTTAAAAAATATTGGTGAAGTGTCTGGAGAAATTGTTTCTAGTGCATCTTAAAATGCTGAAATTCAATTTTTCCCAAACCCCCGGCTTTTTCAGGATTTTAAATTTAGACTTGTTGACACCCCTGTCACTGACAAAGCCAATGAAGTTAAAATTTACAAAGGGGTTTTAGTGTTGTGGATAATGAGGAATGGTGTAGAACAGACAACATGACATCACAAATGCTCATCTGTGAACACTTTGTGCTCAGATGAGTAAAAACAACTTGTCAGAGTTTATGACACCAATCATAATTTAAAAAAAATATGAATTAAGTTTCAAATAAATACCATCAGTAGTTTGTTTTTGAAAGATTAATGATGCATGCAAAACTAATTAACTTTTACCAAAATTTTTCTCAATTCACAAAAGTCAATTACCAATTCAATATCCATGTCAGAGTTATGGGTCTTGAAAATGATCTGACATTATTTCCCGAAAGGCCCTATTTCAATGAATTCCTTTTAGTAGGAACCAAAAATTTTTTAAGTTCAAAAATGGGCCCTTATTTTCAAGAGTTAGAGTTCTTTTAAAAACTTCGGTTTTAATTTTGTCCCCAATATAAGGTTCACTAAAACAAACTAACAAATGTTAGATATTAATTTTCTTTAAAAAGTAACCCCGTATTTTTATTTTTTTAAATAAAAAATTAATTTCCACGGGAATTTTTAAAAAATATGCCTTTGGATCTGTCTTTATATTAAAAATGTGTTTGTTTTAACCCGGGATAACAAAATTAAATGAAACCATTTATGCAAAACCAAGTAATTGGTTTAAATGGATTGGGAAACCTCCTGCAAGTCCCCGTAAATCCCCCCTTTTCCTATATTTCCTATTGATGGGTTTAAGCAAAAAGATACCCGATCGAATGGGGTGGCCAGGCCCGGGGTCTGGACCAACCTGGCCGAAAACCCATTAGTTTGCGTCCTTTACCAGCTAAAAAATTTCCATGGAAAAGTTCCATCTAGCTTTCCGTTAATTATTTTAATTGGGAAAAGTGGTTTTTTTAGGGAGAAATTAAAATATACCCTCCCTTTAGGGTTAAACCGTTGAATTTCCTTTTATGTTTAAATTTAATTTATTACATTTTAACCTTTTTGTTTGTTAACCTTGTATGTAAACAGTTTGTCTCTCAAAAAAATTTATAATTTACAAAATTAACTTTATTCTTATTTACGTTCTTTCCGTTTACATGTATGAAAATAGGAAAAAAAATTAAACACTTTTAGGAAAACCCCCCAAAAATTTTTTAAAGTTTTTATTTTTAAACCTAATTTTAACATTTTAAAAAAAAAACCCCCAAATGTTTTTGCAAACCTTTCATTTTCCTTTTTAAATCATTGAAATTTTTGGCCAAAACCCCTTGTAAATTCCCTTGCTTTTTTTAGAAATTAAATTTTGTAAAAACCAAAAAATCCAAAATTAATTGTTTTTTGATAAAAATTAAATCTTAGGGTGTCGGGAAAAGCCCCCTTTTAGTTTTTCATTAGCCCAAAATTCCAAAAAAAAAAAATCCAAATTTTAAAGGGAGAATGCAAAAAAATCTATCTTATTAATTACACATCATTTTAAACTAATTTACTTTTAAAATTTACTTTTTGAGGGGTTTAGCTGGCCATGTAAAAACCTTTAAAAAAAAATTTTTTTTATTTTAGCCTCATTAACATCCATTAAGAAAACTGAATCAATTAAGTAATTAAGTTTTAATATGATAAATTAAATCTTGGGACATAATTCTAAAACCTGGATTCTGACAAATATATGATTAAATAACATCTCACTAAGGTATGAACAGATAAGTTGATTCCTAGATTTTCTATCAGATAAAAATATCTGTTAAATGTTACAATATGCAACTTAATAATAATAATAATTTAATACTTCAATAACAATCGGCAATATTCTTATTTTGAAAGGTTAAATACAGAGACCATAACTTATAGTAATTTTCTCACTTGTTTTGTTGAGTAGCAATTAAACTTACAATAAGCTGAATTTGACAAATAGCAATTTATAAGATATAAATATACGTGTGCAGGTATCACATAATTAACTCTCTTCAAACATAATAAGTTATCAGGGTTCAGCAACTCCTTAGAAAATAAAACTACCTATATGTATGTATGAACTTACCAGTTTTTCTCTGTTAGAGTTGTATGAGTAATAGCCTCTCTAGGCATGGCTAGTATTTGTGACCGTAGTGAATTAATCAGAGTCTGGAAGCTAGGGTAACCCCGATACTCAGGCAGCATTGTCAATACTGTATCTGCAGTGAAATAATCAAATCATCTTAGATATCATGTTATCCGTTCAGGGATTTTTTTGGGGGTTTATTTCATAACTGATAATCGGTCATATTCCCAACTAAAAATAGTGTATTGTTTTCCCAATCCACAGGAAAAAATTCCCAATTGAAAGTTACAAAATATAAAAGTTTTGAATTACAAATTCTAAAATTTTTGAAAGTGATTCTTTATATTCATGTAGCATGGGACTCCGTACTATCGGCGTACTTAACTTTTCATATATGTCTGCATTGAATTTCAATGATGAATTTAATAATCAATATTCTGCGTAAAGCAGTACAAATTCAACTAATCATTACATTTTTAATTGAATGAGGTCAAAGATTTTTAACTTCAACATATGCATAACTGCACATAACAAAATACTTTGAGTACGTCGGTAATAGAGTTGCGCCGATAATATAGAGTTAGAGTATAATTACTGCAAAATTTAAATCATGCATTTTCCCCAATTTTTATCAAAACATTGCTAAAATTCCCAATTCCATGGGTATGGGTCATGTTCCCAAAATCCTGGGAAAAAAACTGCCATTTTAAGCTATTGAATGTTAAAAAACATATATTTTATTAAATAAAACTTAAAATTTTTACAAGAATTTTTCTCATCATCAACATTTTGAGACTAAAAACTAAAATAAAAACACCAGAAACACACAAATGGACTTAAATGAAATTTAATGTGAATCATTTCCTCTAGAATCTAGCATATCAATATCAAGACAGGCTAATTTTTCATAAAATAATGCCAATTTTGAAGATACTAAGTTACTCAATAATGCAAAATTAAATTTTGATATATTCAATGAACTCCTTACTATCATATACGTTCATGCTGGGTTTTATTACCACCCTTGAGTATGACAGCTCTTTATTTTATTATGTATAGTTTGGCAAAAAAACTCAAAAGAGTTAGGTCAAAAGAATGAAACAACATGTTCTGAAGCAAACCTTCAGCGTCTTTCCTCCCATCCATACATGGAAGAACAAATAAGTTTAGATCTGACTTGATAAATGCAGGGTTTAAACCAAATGTCTGTCTACCAGTTGTCATGGTGACATCACCTACAACATTAAAATAGTTTACACATTATATACAATATTTATATATATACATTTTTTTTACAGTTTATTTGCTTTAAACATTATAACAACGTTTCGAGCATAATAATAGACAGGTAACACAGTTAATAGGCTAGCAACAATATGCAAAAACAAAATGTTATCTACATACTGTAAATATATTGAATGTATATTAATTATTAATGGTATTAAAATGATAATGATTTGCTCGGATGTTCTGATATTTGACTTGATTTTTTTTTTAAATTATCAATATCTTACGAGTGTATTGGGAAATAAAAAAATCCCAACAACTGATGCAACCTACCGATGAAGAATTCTTTTCTAATATAATACCTTTTACATGTATTTAACTTTATGAGAAGTACAACATTAAGCTCCATCTAAAACTATTACAGCATAAGAATGACACTAGGTCACTTGCAACCATTGCCATAAGACCACAACAGCTATTGCAAATCATTAGTAATCATCAACCATGGCAAATAGACATCAGCATCCATTGCTAAAAGAAATCAGCAACCATGGTCATAAGGAATCAGCAACCATGGTCATAAGAAATCAGCGACCATTGAAATAAAAAATCAGCAATCATGGCTATTAATGAAATATATAATTTTTACCTTTCATCTTCAATTTTGAATTCTGAAAAATTGTTGATAATGTCTTCTGCATTGCAGTGAAGTTTTCAACACTGAATTCTTCTCTCCCAGCCTTATTCTGTACAAAAACTACAAGTAAAATGTTTCATAATAATCACTTTACCAGATTAAACAAAAAGCATCTACTAAAACAGCAATGCAAATTGACTTTCAGTCTATCCCAAATTCACCGAAGTTCAATATGCACAGGAAAAATCTGTAATATAGCATGCTGGACTATTCTCACAACTTGATAATGATGTAATAATAACATTTTGGTCAAAAAAGGGTATAATCAAGTCAAAATACATAATTGATTCTTGTCTAATATAAAATGTGAGAGTCATAAATAAGTATTCCATGTGTCTTAAAATTAATGATTCAGTGAGTTTAAGTGTGAAGATTAAAAGTTTCAAACTCTTTTTATGAGGTTATCAGCATTGTCAATACTGTATCTACAGTGCCTCAGTCACAAAATCAGTATTATATTATTGCCTATATGAGGGTAGTAATCTGGATGATCAGTATTACATTATTATTCTATATGAGGGTAGTAATCTGGATGATCAGTATTACATTATTACCTATATGAGGGTAGTAATCTGGATGATCAGTATTACATTATTACTTATACGAGGGTAGTAATCTGGATGATCAGTATTACATTATTACCTATACGAGGGTAGTAATCTGGATGATCAGTATTACATTATTACCTATATGAGGGTAGTAATCTGGATGATCAGTATTACATTATTACCTATATGAGGGTAGTAATCTGGATGATCAGTATTACATTATTACCTATATGAGGGTAGTAATCTGGATGATCAGTATTACATTATTATTCTATATGAGGGTAGTAATCTGGATGATCAGTATTACATTATTACTTATCCGAGGGTAGTAATCTGGATGATCAGTATTACATTATTACTTATACGAGGGTAGTAATCTGGATGATCAGTATTACATTATTACCTATACGAGGGTAGTAATCTGGATGATCAGTATTACATTATTACCTATATGAGGGTAGTAATCTGGATGATCAGTATAACATTATTACCTATATGAGGGTAGTAATCTGGATGATCAGTATTACATTATTACCTATATGAGGGTAGTAATCTGGATGATCAGTATAACATTATTACCTCTACGAGGGTAGTAATCTGGATGATCAGTATTACATTATTACCTATATGAGGTAGTAATCTGGATGATCAGTATTACATTATTACCTATATGAGGGTAGTAATCTGGATGATCAGTATTACATTATTACCTATATGAGGGTAGTAATCTGGATGATCAGTATTACATTATTACTTATACAAGGGTAGTAATCTGGATGATCAGTATTACATTATTACCATATGAGGGTAGTAATCTGGATGATCAGTATTACATTATTACCTATATGAGGGTAGTAATCTGGATGATCATCAGGAGCTGTGTTACTGTCATGTCCAGATGAAGATGGTGTTGATGGTTTCAACATCTCTGCTGTCTGAAGGAAATGTAGTACTGACAGATCTGTGAACCAATCTTGTACCACCAACACAACATTACATACTGTCAGTAAAAATGTCACCTGTTGTAAACTCTGAAAGTTACAAAGAAATGTAAAATTATATTGTGCATATATAAATTATCTTGAGAACATGATATTAACTGGCCTTCATGCTATCTCAAATGAAAGATAATCAAAAACAAATTTTTAAAGACACAAACAATTATTCAAACCCCTTCAGTGGCAAGCTTTACACTGTTTAGTAACCCACTGGTTGGTTCTAGTTCTAAGAAGGAATTCAAGAGTTTCAATATGCTTATAGCTTCCAACAAAATTTAATTTTATAATAATAAACTAGACAATCATGACTTAAATACCAGATTCGTTTTAAAGGGACTCCATCATGCCTTTTTTTATTGGACTGATGTTTGTGTTACATATGATGAAGGTCTTGACCAATAATGTGTGTGCACATTTTCAGATCATTCTCACATTCACTATGGACTTCAGGAATTTCAGTTTCAAATAGGAAGATTAATAGAATCTGGTCAAACACCATGGTTATGCAGGATATCCTACAGCGATAATAACTAACCTGTATTTCAGCAAAGTTTTCTGCAGTTGTGTATTCAGGTGGTATTTTCTTCTCATTATGTATCAGCTGATCTAACACAGAGGCACTCAACAGAGGCTGCAATATAACATTAATATTGTATTTCCCACAACCTTTTACCTGATGTAAACCAACTCTACATACAAAAGAAAACCATTGAACCTTATCACAATTGTAATTTAGATGCTACAAACATCTCAAAAACTCTTGTGGTGAATTCTCCCTTCCAAATTAATTTCATATATTATATCTACATTTATTTCTTTTGAAAAATATCTTTAAAGCACAATTACACAATTATATCTGAACAAGAATATTTTTAGTTATTTAACAGACAAAAATATTAGCTAGACAATCGCTTATCTTTGTTGAAAGAGTGTTTGAACAAGAGGACCTTTATGGTTGGAATCACTCACCTGAACTGTTCTGCCTTTTAGTTTTGTAAATTTACCTATGGTTAAGAAACATTATAATGTTACCTGGCAGTCAAGGAAGATTACTCTTTGTGAAGTAACATAGATGTCTATGCCATTGGTCATATGACCACATTCTTCTCTGACCGATCTAGACTGAGGCGGGAACACATAATTCCTGTAATAATATCAACATCTTAAAACCTTAGATCAAATACACCGAAGCAAGTATAAGTTACAACTTCTACTCTATTATCCCATTAAAAAATATTAATTTGAATGCAATTTATCCTCAAAGAGATGCAACTTTTTAGCATTGAAGCTCCAATGAGGTCCAAAATTCTAAACATATTCATGAAAATCTTACATAGATAAACTGGGGAAATTAATTGAAAACTAGAACTGCCACTATCATGGCGTGAATACCCCCGCATACCACTTTGTCAGAATCAACAGTGGCCATTTAGAACTCAAGGACAACCACCCTGCCAAATCTGAGGTGACTAAGCCAGTGCATTGCTAAGTTATGTATTCTACATGCTTCAATATGAAAATGTCAAAATCAATACACTCTGGACAGGCATTGGGGAAAAGCTTTATTTTGACAAGGTCCCTGTGACCTTGACCTTTGACCCAGTGACCTCAAAATCAATACGGATCATTTACTAATCATGACTAACCTCCATGCCAAATATGAAGACTGTGGGTCATAGGAACCTTAAGTTTTTGGGCGGACAAGCTTTTTGAAGTCAAGGCCCCTGTGACCTTGACCTTTGACCTGGTGACCTCAAAATCAATAGGGGTCATCTACTTATCACGACTAACCTCCATGCCAAATATGAAGACTGTGGGTCATAGGAACCTTAAGTTTTTGGGCGGACAAGCTTTTTGAAGTCAAGGCCCCTGTGACCTTGACCTTTGACCTGGTGACCTCAAAATCAATAGGGGTAATCTACTAATCACGACTAACCTCCATGCCAAATATGAAGACTGTGGGTCAAAGGAATCTTAAGTAATTGGGCGGACAAGCTTTTTGAAGTCAAGGCCCCTGTGACCTTGACCTTTGACCTGGTGACCTCAAAATCGATAGAGGTCATCTACTTATCACGACTAACCTCCATGCCAAATATGAAGACTGTAGGTCAAAGGAATCTTAAGTAATTGGGCGGACAAGCTTTTTGAAGTCAAGGCCCCTGTGACCTTGACCTTTGACCTGGTGACCTCAAAATCAATAGAGGTCATCTACTTATCACGACTAACCTCCATGCCAAATATGAAGACTGTGGGTCAAAGGAATCTTAAGTTATTGGGCAGACAAGCTTTTTGAAGTCAAGGCCCCTGTGACCTTGACCTTTGACCTGGTGACCTCAAAATCGATAGGGGTCATCTACTAATCATGACTAACCTCCATGCCAAATATGAAGACTGTGGGTCAAAGGAATCTTAAGTTATTGGGCGGACAAGCTTTTTGAAGTCAAGGCCCCTGTGACCTTGACCTTTGACCTGGTGACCTCAAAATCGATAGGGGTCATCTACTTATCATGACTAACCTCCATGCCAAATATGAAGACTGTGGGTCAAAGGAATCTTAAGTTATTTGGCGGACAAGCTTTTTGAAGTCAAGGCCCCTGTGACCTTGACCTTTGACCTGGTGACCTCAAAATCGATAGGGGTCATCTACTAATCATGACTAACCTCCATGCCAAATATGAAGACTGTGGGTAAAAGAAATCTTAAGTTATTAGGCGGACAAGCTTTTTGAAGTCAAGGCCCCTGTGACCTTGACCTTTGACCTGGTGACCTCAAAATTGATAGGGGTCATCTACTAATCATGACTAACCTCCATGCCAAATATGAAGACTGTGGGTCAAAGGAATCTTAAGTTATTGGGCGGACAAGCTTTTTGAAGTCAAGGCCCCTGTGACCTTGACCTTTGACCTGGTGACCTCAAAATCAATAGGGGTCATCTACTAATCATGACTAACCTCCATGCCAAATATGAAGACTGTGGGTCAAAGGAATCTTAAGTTATTGGGCGGACAAGCTTTTTGAAGTCAAGGCCCCTGTGACCTTGACCTTTGACCTGGTGACCTCAAAATCAATAGGGGTCATCTACTTATCATGACTAACCTCCATGCCAAATATGAAGACTGTGGGTCAAAGGAATCTTAAGTTATTGGGCGGACAAGAAAAAACCGACGGACGCCGGACGGCCAGACGGCCGGACGGACAATCTGATTCCAGTATACCCCCCTTACAACTTTGTTGTGCGGGGGTATAATAAATTTTTTGTGCAATGCTTAGTTAATACATTTTACTGCTCTTCATTATCAGGTCATTTTGCACAAGATTTCTGGAAGAAGAGATTGAACAAACGATCTGAAATTTTCCGCACAAGTAATTGGTCAAGGCATATATCAGTTGGTACCCTTATCTTAAAAAAATATTTCCAGTCCAGTCATTTGAAAGGAAGCAAGAAGTTACTTACTGAAAAACACATCAGCACAATTATAAAAATTATAAATATTTGTTTCAAGATTTTTCCCAGATATGAAACATCACAGGCTTAAAAGATTTGTGCAAGGTGGTGGATATCTAAAACCAGCACTCTCTAAAAGAGTCACTGTGCTACCTTCAGTAAATGATTTATCCGAGACACATTTCCAATGAAAGGTCTCTAAGCTACTGTTTGATACAGATGTTATATAAGACAAACCTATGAGCATCTATTTCTGTATTACCAGCCAGTAGAGACATTATCGTGGACTTGCCAGTACCTTGTAATCCTACCACACCAACAATGAGAAAGTCTGTCTGCTCCAAGAGTGACTGAAATAATTCATTAACTATATACCTATAAAACAGAATGTATCCTTAAACACTGCCTGCTAGCATATTTATATGTTTAGAAACAAAGTAATATTGAATGGTCAATAAGGGTGTAACGGTTTACCGGTATACCGATATATTGCAATATGAAAAAATAAATTTCGTACCGCGGTACGATTTTTGGAAAACCGGTATTTTATAAAACTCATAATTTTCAATTAATTGCCTTCTAATTTTGTACAAATTTCACATAAAATCTTTAATTGGCGAATTTTGTTGGCGCCAACGTAAGATAAAAGTATCCGACAACTAGTACACTTAAAAGTCAATAAGCGGCCGCATAATTTACATAAGCGGCCCAGATGTGAAAGGTCACACGCGACTAGTTTTGTTTATCAAATTGTGTGACACTTTACTTTCTATTTATTCCTTACATTTTTATTAAGTTTCTACTAAAATATATACATATAATAATAATATATGAATGTTACTACATCTTTACATCAAAACATATACACGACAATACGTATTGCAATATATTGCAATACGCTTCAGCAAAATGGCAATATATTGCAATACGGTTTTTGCTGTATTGTTACACCCCTAATGGTCAATTCCAAACCATCCCTGCTTAATTATTTGCTTGTTTTCAATAAAGTCTATATTCATACCATAATAAAAGTGGTTTTCTTTAAAGAAAATATGTATAATAAAACAGAATAATATTAGACAAAGGTTGCCTTATCTTGCCTTTGTTAATCTATAGTTTGTACGCCATACAAATGTAGCTCTATTTGGAGTCATACACATGTTTCGTTACACAACATCAGTAAGTAAGTAAGTAAGTAAGTAACGACTTTATTTAATGAGGCAACACAGTTGGGCAAGCCCAGTCTTCCCTGTGAGCCTCAACAATGTACAAAACAATTTATAAAATAAAATACATCAATAAGAGAATAAATAACTACATAAGTTGATTTCATTATTATACATTCAACATTGAAATATGTGAGATCAACCTTAAACAACAAAAGACATGTGTTGATAATATACTCATAATACTGGTATACAAATGTTATCAAAAGTGAAAATTAACATATATATAAAACAAACATATTCAAACAAATATTCAAACAAATATTTACATTGCATTTAAGCAGAGGTTTCCACCAGAGAACCACCATGTTAAGTATGTTTTTTTGAATTCTGCAAGACTGTTTGATTGCCTGATGTGTAATGGTAATTTGTTCCAGATTTTAGGCCCAGAGTATGCAAGAGCTTTTCTGCAAAACTCTAGTCTAGGTTTGGGTATATGTAGTGTCTGTCGTGTGTGTGATCTAAGAGTTGTGTTATTTGTATGCGAAAATAAATCAGACATATAATGTGGCAATAGATTGTTAAGGGATTTGTAAACAAGAATTGACTTTTTATAATGTATGCGGTCATGTATTTTTAACCAATTCAATTCATGAAACAATATATCTGAGGGTGTATCAATGTCTGCATCAAGTATAATACGGGCGGCTCTCTTTTGAAATTTGTATAAGCTGTTCAGTAATTCATCATTACAATTTCCCCAAATAGTGCAGCAGTAATCTAGGTGTGGCAATATGTATGCATTATAAAAAACTATTCTCATTTGTTTGTTTAGGTATTGTTTAATACGAAGTAGAAGATACAGTAATGAATTGCATTTTTTAATCAGATGTTCAATTTGACAGTTCCATGATAATCTATGATCCACGTGAATTCCTAGTAATTTTTCAGAGTTAGTAAATTCAGTAAAGTGTATTGAATTGAGTTAGTAAAGTCAGTAAACAGAATTGAATTATAATTGTATTGTTAAGCATTAATATTAATCATTTTAGATTTCCTAAATATCTATGTTCCGTAAAAATATTCTTAACTCTTACATCACTGCTTGTTTCACACCACTGATGATGTTCATCAATCAACTTGGTAAAGTGACTCATTTCCATAGGACCTGACAGTCTGTTTGTACCTAAATGAGATGACATACAAACAATAAAGTTATATAGAGGATATTTCTTTGTCTTGCATGTAAGATCGAAATATAAATATTTCAAAGAGTGAAAAAACAAGATATAATATTTTCATGAGTGACATAGCCACAAGTGAAATATAATGAGATCTCACATGCAAAATAAACAATTTTTCTATATTTTTCATGCTACTTTAGTAGTTTCCAGCCATTTACAATTTTTTGCTGCATAACTATGTAAATTCTCATTCATGATGTTGCCAAATCATGACATAACATGGTTCTTGAAAAATTATCCTGTACATTGAATTTTACCAGTTTGTTTCATTTTTACATGATATATGCCATTTATCACTATGAAATCATCAAATTATAATTTTACTAGCTACCGAAAGGCACGCAATAAATATGTAATATTCATTATCAAAACCATACATGTATATCCATTTAAACACCTACATTTTCCATCTCAAGCTTTTCATTTTCATTCTATTAAGCTTAAACTTAACCTTATTCATTGATTATAAATAAAAACACAAACGTGCAAATGACGATACAAATGTAGGTGCAATTTAATGCTCCTTAGGGTATTAAATTATAACAAAATATGTTTGTAAAACATGTATGCCCCCTATCAGCAGCCAATTATTCATGTGATAAGGTAATTATGCATGACTTCTGACCCAGTGATCAAACAATTAATAAGGGTTATCAAGTATCTACTGGTCATGACCTTGACCTTTGACCCCTTGACCCAAAACTCAATAGGGGTCATCTGCTGGTCAAGACCAATCATCATACAAAGTTTGAAGTTCCTAGGCCTAAGGGTTCTTTAGTTATTGATCGGAAACTGTTTTTACCTAAGAGGTCAATGTGACCTTGACCTTTGACCCCTTGACCCCAAAATCAATAGGAGTCATCTACTGATCATGACAAATCACCATATCAAGTTTGAAGTCCCTAGGCCTAAGGGTTCTTTCGTTATTGATCGGAAACCGTTTTTACCTACAAGGTCAATGTGACCTTGACCTTTAACCCCTTAACTCCAAAATCAATAGGGGTCATCTACTGATCATGACCAATCACCATATCAAGTTTGAAGTCCCTAGGCCTAAGGGTTCTTTCGTTATTGATCGGAAACCGTTTTTACCTACAAGGTCAATGTGACCTTGACCTTTGACCACTTAACCCCAAAATCAATAGGGGTCATCTGCTGGTCATAACCAATCACCATACCAAGTTTGAAGTTCCTAGGCCTAAGGGTTCTTTTGTTATTGATCGGAAACCGTTTTTGCTTACAAGGTCAATGTGACCTTGCCCTTTGACCCCTTGACCCCAAAATCAATAGGGGTCATCTACTGATCATGACAAATCACCATACCAAGTTTGAAGTTCCTAGGCCTTAAGGTTCTTTAGTTATTGATCGGAAACCGTTTTTGCTTACAAGGTCAATGTGACCTTGACCTTTGACCCCTTGACCCCAAAATCAATAGGGGTCATCTACTTGTCATGACCAATCACCATACCAAGTTTGAAGTTCCTAGGCCTAAGGGTTCTTTAGTAATCACTCGGAAACCATTTGGTCTACGGACCGACAGACCGACAAGTGCAAAGCAATATACCCCCTTTTCTTCGAAATGGGGGCATAATTATTGTTACTTTAAGAAACCTAAAGATTTTTTGTTGTTTTTTTCCCATTATTTTTTACACAAACTTGAAATGGTCAAATAAATATCTTCCTCAAAGCAACAAAAAATGTGTCTATAGAATAGATGGACATGGGCAAAACTATATGACCTCTAAACAGTGGATCAGGCAAAAAAAAGTTACCTTCAATAGTTCTCTGGAGGAATGTAGGTTGCGGAGGAGTTTCTCCCTGTATTGTACTCACTGGTATACTAGGTAAGGATAGAGATGATGTCAAAGTTCTACGAGGATCTTCTCCTCGCGGCTTCAGAACTGTTACAGGCTTCTCTGCCTGACGAGATGAAGGTGTTGGAGAAGTGGAATTTGAACCATGACCCGATGTAGCCGACTGTAACAGCAAGTACTGCACTTTAGAATTTTATCATTATCACCTTTATATTTCAGGTAAATTTTGAAAAGCAAATATAGAAAGTTCAAAAAATAAAAACAACACATTTTGAAATTCAACTAATTAATGTAAATATGATGAGTTAGTAAATGTTTACCTGAGAAGATTCATTTTCTGGATGTTTTGCCAGAATAATTGGTCTAGAAGTTGGCTGACTATCCACCTCATAATCCCTTTCCTTAAATTATAAAACTACACACTTATTTTCCAGGAATGGTACAGCAAACATGAAAACTGCCACTATTACATGAATTGTCAATTTATACAGTTAGCATTAATCATTTTTATAACAGCATTGTAGCATGTGAGATGGTGGGAGAGAGGAGGTGTGGTCATCACACTCTTTGACACACGCCAAATACCAATGTCAGAAACTAAGCTTTAACCCACACAGTTTAAGGACATCATAGGCTCTAGTAAAAAACAAGCAATTATCAAAGTATTGCAAGCAATACAAAAGGGTAATGTAATAATTTGTCACAATAATGATACCCCACATAACAATTCGCCTCAGAGTAACGATTGCCATGCAGTTCAATAAATATTCACCACAGGTGTTAAAATTTTTGCACCTCTTTCATTACAGTTTCAAACTGTTTATGCTATCCTTTTATATTTTTTCATTGTGCCCCCACTATAGCGGGGGACATTTAGATTTTTGTCCATCCGTCTGTTCCCTTTTTGTGTCGCTTATAGCTCAAAAATTAATTGACCTAGAGTCATCAAACCTTACAGAAATGTGAAGTTGTGCATCTGGGTATTTTCATGTGGATATATTTAGTATTTTTAGAATTATTGCCCTTGGCTTAGTAAAAATTTTTAATTTTCAACTTATGTTGCACATAACAAAAAATATTTGACCTAGAGTCATGAAACCTTACTGGAATGTTGGTGTAGTTGTGCACCTGGGTATTTTTGTGTGGATATATTTAGTACTTTTAGAGTTATTGCCCTTGAATTAGTAAAAATTTCTAATTTTCAACTTGTGTCGCACATAACTAAAAAAGTATTTGACCTAGTCATGAAACCTTACAGGAATGTTGCTCAGCATGTGTAGTTGTGCACCTGGGTATTTTCGTGTGGATATTTTAAATATTTTTAGAGTTATTGCCCTTGACTTAGGAAAAAATTCCAATATTTTAACGTGTGTTACACTTAACTCAAAAAGTTTATGACCTGTAGGCGTGAAAGTTTACAAGAATGTTGGTCAGCATGTGTACTTATGCACCTTCGGTGTTTTTTTTCACCAAAAAATCCGGCAAAATTCCGCCCCATTCCCCTCTCAAAGTTGTATGTTTTTTCCCCCCTTAAAGCCTAAAATTTCCCTTATATGTCAGCCCGAATTTGCCTGCAATAAATATCATTTTATTTTGCAACTATCTGCCGAAAAATGTTTTATTTAATGTCTGTAAGAGTTACTATTAAGCAAGGTTGTTTACAAATCAATCTCTGGTAGGTAAGGGGAGCTACACCCGGCGGCACAACAAGTTTAACATATTTAACGATATTTAAGATCCGTATATTAAGAACAAGAGCGATCAGTAATCACATGTGTCGCCTCATGATGGCCAAACAGATGGACAGTGCACAACTAGACTTGGTACTGACCATTCCTGTAAAGTTTGGATAAAATTTCACCAGTAGTTTATGAGGAGTAGTCCGGACAAGCTTTTGTGTAAATGGCAACATACAGAAAAAAACACCTTTTTATCAAAGGGCCATAACTCGGCAAAAATCATTCAACCAGAAAACCCGTGCAATATGCACAAGGACTTGAGCTACAGATCAATCCTGTAAAGTTTCATTGAAATTGCATTAGTGGTATAAGTGAAGTAGTACGGACAAATTTTAAAAATAAAAATTATTAAAGGGCCATAACTCTGACAAAAGTCATTGAACCGGAAAATGCTGACAATATGCACAACAAGACTTGGTACTGATCATTCCTGTAAAGTTTTGATGAAATTACACCAGTAGTTTATGAGGAATAGTCCGGACAAGTTTTGTGACGGACAGACAGACAGACGACAGAGAAGTGATCCCTATATGTCGCCACTACTCCGTAGAGGTGACACCAAAATAGACGTATTTTTAACTTGTGTTGCAAGAGTTGCTCCCCTTTTCCACCGCAAAGAAAACATTTATAAAATAAGTAAACAAATAAAATTCCCCCTCCTATTGCATTTTTCCCCCTCCAAAGGGCACCGACCCCCTTCCCCCAAAAGTGAAAAAAAAAACACTGACCTTGGGGTTTTCTTGTGGATTTATTCAGTATTTGTAGTATTTACCCATTACTTAAAGATTTTTAGTTTTCAACTTGGGCACATGTAGCCAAAAAAAAAAAATTTGACCTAGAGACATAAGATTGACAAATCGGTGGAGTATGGGGGCACCTGTGTCCTATGGACACATTTCTAGTTTTATATTTCATTTGTTAATTAAATAAATCAATCGTCAAGTGGAAATTATAATAAAACGGCATTTATTAATGAAAGTGGCTAGCCGTACGGGTAATAGTGAAGTGTGTGTCTGTGTGTCATGTACACAAGAAATAGGTAAATGATGTTTATTATCATGGTACTACTTTTTTACACATGTCATGGTGGCCATGTTTTTTCAAGGTCAGATAAACTACTTTCCTAAGATTTATGTTTTTTTGAAAGGTTTTTGTATTTTCTGCAAAAAATAGCACTTGTTGGCACTAAAATAGACGTTAAACTGGATTTTGCTATTCATCAAATGTGCAACAGAATGTTTTTGGTCTTCAGAAATTTAGCCCATTCAAGGTAAATTTTCTTATTGTTATCATTTTTATTTTTGTTTAAAATAGTTTTTAAAACTTAAAACTGGAAGTGTACTTGCAAATAGCCCATCATATAACAATGTCAGCTTTGTTGTTATATGAATTTTGGCCTACTTTCACTTTGGACAGACTTTCTGAAAACAAACATGGCTAACAAAGCGGAATCACCTTAAAAGAGACAGATTGGGTTCAGTTGATAATATATTTTTTTAGTACATACACTCGGATAATACTAAAAGATATTTAGATGTAGCAGAAACGTTTTTAAAAACCGTTACATGATCGAAAATATGCGCCGCAATCTGCGGTCCCGTTCTCAAGTTCCTATGAGGTGTCACCCCGGTACGGAATTAGACCCAGCCCGTTGTAGTCTAGAAAGTAGTTCTTTTAAATTTTGAAATGGCCTATTTCAAGTCATCTTAATAGATACTGGTTATAACTTATATTTTAAGTATATCTTTAGTAATTGTGTATCCACATACTGCCAGTTTTCAATCACAACCTCTTTTCAATCATCCCTAGAAATTTTTTATTTTTGACATTATTTGTCATGTAACCAAACTGTAAGCACATCTTGTATTCACCTTGACTAAATTTATCAGCAGCAATGTCAATTATGGCGATAAAAAAAGAAAATGCTAGCATTTTAGTTCAAAATATGTAAAATGTGTGTTTTCCACTAATCCTTTATTTTCCAAGTTACAATTCGCAAAAATTTTCTAAAAATAATTGATTTACAGACTCAGTTTTTTGTCAGTTTGCAGAAATGGATATTAAGTTGGACAACTGTTTCAATATCACGAATTCATAATGTATACTGCACTTCAAAAGCTGTAATTTTAATATGTACATATTTTACCATACAGTTCTTAATTGGAAGGTAATACATCAGTAAAGTAACAGTCACTTAACCAAGGAAAAACATTCTCTGTGATAACTTTTCGGTAAGCAGTCACTAGAATGGGGTCATATAGTCCCTAAGATCCTAAAAATTCCACAAGAACATGCTTTATCTGTTATGCAAATTGAAATGTACATCCATACCCCAATTGTGAGGGCTTTACCACTGCAAATAGATATCTAGATTGAAAAATGGCATTATAATTAGGTTAAAATTGTTTATTACCATTTATCTGAAGTTGAGTTTGCCAAAATTTCTCCAAAATACAGAACTAATTATATTTTAACATTGTATGACAATTTTTATGTGATACAGTTTATATTTTGTTAACTGATTGAAAAGTGGTTGTGAAATTTTGAAGAACCGGAAAATGGGTCAGTAATGATTTGTCCTTGATTCATAGTAATAATTCAAGTAAAATTTTAAAAAGTTGGTGAATTTATTAGCTGATATGATAATATTCGCAGAATTGAAAGAGAATTTTTTTTATATATAATTTCACTGTCAGTTATTTTTGAAAAATCTGTTAGCTGATCGGAAAGAGGCAGTACGGGGATACATAAAGTTTCATTTCTGAGTACTTTAAAGGTTGTTTTTGATGTATTTTTGCAGGATTTCATTTCTGGGTGGAAGGTTTCAGGAGGCACTATGCACAAGAATACACACCAATTACTATTTGGAATATTCTATAGTGATTACAGAGATTAAAAGCTGCAGAAAAACTCCAAGGGCTAATGTATTATTTTTTTGTGCTAAATTTACTTGGACTGCATTGGTGTTTAAAGAAATGGTCATGAAGTTTCGGTACCGGATTTGCTTTGTCCAGAATTTAGCATTAAATGTGATGGATTTACTATAGGATATATGGGTCGAAAATTCAGTGGGCCGTCTCCATGAATCTGTCAGTCTGTGATGGAATATTTTGAGTACGAACTTGTACGTTATAAATTTTGTGCTCACCTTTCGCATAGGAGGGCCGCCACCTCGTGGACGACGTCGTCTTGGACCACCTCTACCTCGGTCGCTTGAATCTGCCATAATTGTATAAAATTACACTGAAAAGGTTTCAGAATCGGAATGCTAAAAACACGCCGTAATTCTTTCGGCTGTGACTAAAAAAAGGATTGGAGCACCACACTAAATACCGTATTCCGGTATATACCGGACAAGGCGCTTGAATGATAAAATGCTAAAATCTTGTCCTTTTACCCAACGGAATGAACTTTAACAGGTCTAATTCATCTTTTCACATCGAATCAAGTACGATAATCAAGGAAAAATGTAAAATTCGGCGAAAAAAACGATATTTGTCTATTTTGGGATCATGATTTCTGCAAGCGTCTAGAGGTATTGCTCCAATCCTGTATTGAGCTAAATCCAATTCTTTCCGTTCAAAGGCAGGTAATATTCCAATCTCCTACGCAGTGATCTCCCCTTATCAGTACAGCGTGAGGAGTTGGGTAATTATGGAGGGCGATCGTTGCCAAAATTCCAGACATGTAATGTGTTCCTTTTGAAAATGCGAACATGTATGTCTAGCATTTTTGATTGCATTCGTGCACAGCAAATGATATGCCTCTTAATCCAATCTTTTAATTGAAGGCAACCGCTTTTAAATAACAAGTTTACATGTAAATCTTAACAACTGACCTAACACACATTTACAAGTTCGTATCTACCATTGCATATAATGCATAAGCATGTTTACACACTTGTAGATATATCCCGAAACAACCAATTTTCAATCACAACCTAAATTCAAACACATTCTTAATTCTGTGGCACTGATGTCATGTCTGACTAAATTGCATAAAGTCACATGTTGTATTAACTTCAAAACTTGCAGAAATACCATTCTTGATTAATTTTCAGATGTTATGAGTAAAACAATAAGAAACTGTTTTTTTTAAGTGACGCATTATAAATTGTTCAACTTTAACTATATCAAAATAGTCACTTGTTTAAAATAGTGGTAAAAATTTGTCCAAGCAAGTTATTTTTTTTTATAAAGTATTGGCTAAAAAGTTTTACCATTTACCTCAGTCCTAGGTGTATTTAAAAAATTTATTTATATGATGTACCACTACATATTCATCAGACTTTACATGGGGGTCCTTATTAATAAAATCTTATATTGTTATCAAATTTTTTCATGTGATGATTGTAGAATAATTGTTTTGTAGGCGATACCAACTGGCAGATCTAGACAAGTTTCCGTATTTGCTAGTATTATAAAGTGGGGAAGGTAAAATGGCTGTAAAGATTGGATGCATAAATTTATCATTTTGCACCCCAAATAGCGTACTAAGAAGTGACACCTTTAACTGCCTTTTTATACACATTAACAGTAGTCATACCAATGCATTGTACTTAACATATGTTATGACATTTAGTGTAAGTTTTTTAAAATCTTGGAAAAAAAACTGTTGAAAATCGTTGAATAGACTGTTGTGAAATTTTCTACAATTTTAAGTGGCCCTGATTTATCTTGAACAAATTTTCCATAGTGATAACCTTGCTGTTTGAATTTAGGTTAAATATTTCTGAGAGTGACCCGAGTGGGTCATATCGTTTTTATTGAATTTCTAAGAAAGATCAAGACTTGTTGAAAATGTACCAACCTTAAAATGAATAAGTGTTGATAGATGCATTAATAGCTAAAATAAATTAAGAGTATAATTTCCCCTTCCATTTATTATTGGCTAAAAATGGCTTAACTGATTGAATATTGGTTGTTCCGGGATATATATGTACCTGAAAAACACAAATGAAATGTAAAACTCGAATGCAGAAAATATAATTTAATAAAACGTGTTTCCAGTCGTAGAACTACAACAGTACATTTACACAGTTACATGTTTAAAATGACAAAAGTAGATTCACAAAGTTAAACGATTGTAAGTCATGCATGACGCCCCGCCCCTCTCTGAGTACTTACGATCTTCTATCACGGAAATGTACGGACAGGTATAATACCCGTCGCCTCTCTCCTATTTCTCAATAAAGTGAAGGAAAACACGGCGTCCATTCTAACTTTTTTTTATTTCTATAAAAAGTCCAATATAATTTGTATCAATTGAAAGATTACTCCATAAGCTTTCTATGAGTGCCTCGGAAATAAAAATGAATTAAATAGATGTATTGATTTTTTTTTAGTCTGAAAATAACACTCTCGAATTGGTAAGAAAAACACGGCGTTCCCTCCAAACTTTTTTTTATTTCGTAATATATTTTGATAATTTTGGATTGAAATAAAAGTGTGATTAATACGATTTATGATATATAATTATATAATGCCTCAAAATAAAAAGGAATTAAATCAAAATGAATTAACTTTTCGTTAAAAAGTTTATCATGTTACTTTCTGTAAAATAGAGAAAATAAGAATCCCTAAAGAACGCTCAAAACGACAAAATTGAGAATGTTGCAGGCCGGTTTGATTGAGCCTGCTCATGGACGGTAATGGAAAGAGCAAGTTATCGTCCACGCCCCCTAGCACCGGCTTAAGCAAAATTCAACATGAACTGGAACAATTTTGAATTTTGAAACATCCGCAGATGTGTTAATATGGTGATTATCATGGAACCTTCAATGTGACACGTAAGTGCCATACCATGAAAAACGGCATATGATCCCCAAGTAAAAAAAAACAAAACACACTCTGAAATTCAGTAAGAGAAACATGGCGCCCCCTACTTACTTTTTTTATTTCTTGGTCAATTTTGATAATTTTAGAATATGATAAACAAGATCATCAAGGAAAGGCGGCGTTGATAATTTTAGACTCAAGTAAAAAATTCTGGAAACAAAGTGATCCCTCGGAAGCATTAATCACAACAAAATTACATAAGAATTGCAGACTCGGTTTGATTGAGTCTGTACATGAGAGATAATGAATAAGTGCAACATCCCTCACGCCCCCTAGCACCGGATTGAGCGGTACTCAATTCTCAACACTTAATAGTGCTTAAGAATCCTTAATGAACTTTCTAGTGATGCCTTAAAAATGAAAATTAATTACGTAGAAGTATTAAAAATTTTGTTTCTAACTTATCGTTGTTTTTTTTTCTCTTAAATCCACACTCATATATTCGGAAAAAAATAACGTCGCTTCCTTTAGATACTTTATTCAAAAAGGAAAATAAATATTGAATGAAGTTAAGACCATAAGTTTTGAACAAGTATATTAAAAATCTGGAAACAAGGTGATCCCTCGGAAGCATTAATCACAACAAAATTACATAAGAATTGCAGATTCGGTTTGATTGAGTCTGCACATGAGGGATAATGAACAAGTGCAACATGCCTCACGCCCTCTAGCACCGGCTTGAACGGTACTCAATTCTCAACACTTAATAGCGCTGGCATCAATGATCCCGAAAGACCAGAAAAATATAACAACACTGAAGTGAAGTACGGGGCAACTTTTTACAGCTGCCTCACGGCACTTGAAACCTGCTGTTGTGAAGTATAAAAATCTGGAAACAAAGTGATCCCTCGGAAGCAATCACTACAAAATTACATAAGAATTGCAGACTCGGTTTGATTGAGTCTGTACATGAGGGATAATGAACAAGTGCAAAAAGTTTTTATTCATACTGAAAATACCTTATTAAAGATTGTACATATGTGCTACGGATAAGTATTTTTAGCTCGACTTTTCTATGAAAAGGGGAGCTATCCTACTCGCCCCGGCGTCGGCGTCGGCGTCGGCGTTAGCGTTGGCGTCACACCTTGGTTAAGTTTTTCGTACCACCCCACTTTATTTCAGAAGTATTACAAGTATGGCTTTGAAACTTACCATACTTGTTCACCATCATAACCTCCATCTACAGACAAGAGTACATAACTCTGTCAAGGTTTTTTGACAGAATTATGGCCCTTTTTTGACTTAGAAAGTGTATTGAGCTTGGTTAAGTTTTTTGTACCACCTCACTTTATTTCAAAACCATTGGAGGTATTGCTTTGAAACTGACCATACTTGTTTACCATCACGACCTTCATCAACAGACAAGAGGACATAACTCTGTCAAGGTTTTTGACAGAATTATGCCCCTTTTTGACTTAGAAAATACATTGAATATGGGTAAAATCCACTTATTGCCTTAACCCTTTGAGATATTGCTTTGAAACTTTTAATGCTATTTCACATCATTACCCCCATCTGTACGCAAGAGAAGGTAACTCTGTCAAGGATTTGTTTTAAAAATTAAGGCCTTTTATCGACTTAGAATCTTGGTTAAGTTTTTAGTACCAGTCCACTTTTTGACTGAACTGTTTGAGATATTAATTTGAAAGTTGGAATACTTGTTTACAATCATGATTCCCAAACATGTCCAGGAGAAGGTAATTCTGTCAAAGATTTTATTTGAATTATGGCCCTTAACTGTCAATGTTTTGTATTATAGGCAAGCACTAAAAAACTTAAAAAATCTAAAAAAATTCATTCCTATCCACTTGTTCACTTTACCATAAATTATGTCATATAAACATTGCTGTAATATTCAAGGGTATCAAACAACTAGTTCACTTTAAAAATACAGAGATTCTTGTATTGCCTTTTACTGCAAAAACTTTTTTTATTGGCAAGCAATAAAAAAGTCGAGCGCGCTGTCTTACGGACAGCTCTTGTCTTGATTTCGGAAAGGAAATCTCGGTGGCCGCTTTAAAATATACTTGCATAGTTTTTGTTGAAAATGAAATTTGTGCCAATACATTTTTCAATGATACCAATAAGAATATTGGGTGGTTTTTTACATAATTAATAAAATTACTCCCTTGAAGTTGGTCATTGTTTCCCCTAAAACTTTCCCAATCGCCGATGTTTCTCAGGAATATCTGATAAACAAGATCAACAAGGAAAGGCGGCGCTCAATAAACGCAACCCCACATGACCCAGCAACAAGAACAAGTGGCAAGAAGCCAAGGCGGACCCAAAACAAAACACAGGACAGGGCACTAGGCAGAGCACGGACAGGCTAATCACTAAAATGATAAATAATTTTGTAAAGAACACGATGTTAAAAATAAGGTAATGCATAAGTTATCTTCATCATAAATGGTAAAATCAGCAGTTTTCAAGTGATGTTGCTACTGACAA